TAAAAAAGGCGAATGGGCCATCCCTCAGGGTTTGAGGTTGTGGGTAGGGCAGAAGCATGGGGAGGAAGAGAGGAAAGAAGTGAGGTGAAGTTGGAGACATAGGCAGGACCAGAGTGTCTGGAGCACCCTGAACCATGATAAAAAATACATCTTATTCCATCAGATTAAATACATTAAATATAAATTAAATACATTAAAAATAAAAATACATATTATTTCCATCAGATTTTAAGCAGGTACAGAGAAGGGGAAAAGACAGATTTGGAGAGTTTGGGAAGACCAGATCATGTAGAACCTTCTAGCCCATGGAAAGGAATTCAGATTTCATTTCTCTCAGATGTGAAGCAGGGGAGTGACTTAATAGGATTTATGCTTAAAATTTTTTTTTTTTTTTAAATTAGGGACTTCCATGTTGGTCTAGTGGCTGACTCCAAGCTCCTAATGCAGAGGGCCTGGGTTTGATCCCTGGTCAGGGAACTAGATCCCACGTGTCTCAACTAAGAAACAAATAAATAAAAATAAATAAGTATTTTTAAAAAATTAAAAAAAAATTAATTGTGGTAAAAGTCATTTAACATGAAGTTGACCATCTTAGCCAGTTTTCAGCGTATAGTCCAGTAGTGTTGAGTACCTTACACTCTTGTATAACCAATCTCCAAAGCTCATTTCATGCTGCAAAACTGAAACTCTACTTCCTTTCAAACTGATTTCAACTTGTCAAGGATCATGCTGGCTGCCACTGCAGAGGAGTATCCCAGGGCATGAGAGGAGGAGGAGTTAGGAGGGAAGCAGAGAAGTCAGACCATGAGCGTCGAGGCAGGAGATGCTGATGGCTTTGGCTGGTGAGAAGCAGTTGTTATTTAGTCACTAAGTCTGCTTGTGACCCCAGGCTCCTCTGTCCATGGGATTTCCAACAGGCAAGAATACTGGAGTGGGTTTCTGTCTCCTTCTCCAGGGGATCTTCCCAACCCAGGGATCGAACCTGTGCCTCCTGCATTGCAGGTGCTTTCATTACCAATGAACCACCATGAAAGCCCAGTGAGAAGCAGATCTGGAGCTTAAACCCAGGGCCGTTTCTTCCTTGAGCGCCTCTTCCACTAGAACATCTCATTTTGTTATTGTGAGGATTGTTTCTAGGACTCCGCCGTGAGTTAGCAGTGGTCTCCTAAGATCTTTTCAGATTCTTATGAGATTTTATGAACCTCATGATGCCTCCTGGCATCCTCCTAGCTCACTTACCGAGTGTTTACTATTAGGCACTCATCTTACGTATAACTCATTTAATTCAGACACAGTCTTATAAGAGAGGTTCTGAAAGTATCTCCTCTTTACAGATAAGGAAGCTGTAAAGAGAATTTGTATGTAGTAACTTACCAGGATTCCAGGATGAACAGTTAGTCATCATCAGCCCAGGATTTTTTTTTTTCCCCCAACATTTAATTTTTTATTTTATGTTAGTGTATAGCCAGTTAACAATGTTGTGGTAGTTTTAGGTGAATAGCAAAGGGACTCAGCCGTACATATACATGTATCCATTCTCTCCCAAATTCCTGTCCCATCCAGGTTGGCACATAACATTGAACAGAGTTCCCTGTGTTCTACAATAGATCCTTGTTGGTGATCCTTTTTGAATATAGCAGTGAGTACATGGTCTTCCCAAACTCTCTAGCTATCCCTTACTGCCCCACCACCCCCGCCGCCCCCGGCCACTGTAAGTTCATTCTCTAAGTCTGTGAGCCTCTTTCTGTTTGGTAAATAAGTTCATTTGTATCATTTCTTTTTAGATTCCACATGTAAGGGATGTCATACAATATTTCTCCTTCTCTGACTTACTTCACTCAGTATGATACTCTCTAGGTCCATCCATGTGGCTGCAAGTGGCATTATTTCATTCTTTTTATGGCTGAGAAGTACTCCATTGTGCACATGCACCACATCTTCTTTATCCATTCCTCTGTCGATGGGCATTTAGGTTACCTCCATGTCTTGGCTATTGTAAAGAGTGCTGCAGTGAACATTGGGGTGCAGTCAAGGATCTGAATTCAGGTGACCTTGCTCTGATCTGAGCTGTGTGCTATACGCTATTTCACTTATGTATTATGAAAGTAAGATCTTTATCATCCCACAGCTGACTCAATGGTATTAAATGTGAGTTGAATGTTTTAAGCATTCTTGTATTTCATCATCTTTTTCAAGTGGCAGGTGGATGATTTGGAGTTATGGGAAGAGTGAGCCTATAGATGTCACCTTTGCCCCAGTTCTGAGATATTTGTCCACAGAGATCCTATATCTTGGAGTCTTATCATCTGATTGTACACAACACAAGCACCTATCCTGCATTGGAAGGAGCCAAAGGGTGCATGCCCACTTAAATTTTGTGTCCTGAGCCCTTTCTTGCCTCACCTGGGTCTTGATCATGATGCATTAAGACTAGGAAAATGTTGGCGAAGGATCTGCTGCTGCTGCTGCTAAGTCGCTTCAGTTGTGTCTGACTCTGTGCGACCCCATAGACGGCAGCCCACCAGGCTCCTCTGTCCCTGGGATTCTCCAGGCAAGAATACTGGAGTGGGTTGCCATCTAGGCATTTCTATTATAGTAACTTGGACTCAAGGATCATCTTTATTTTTTTAAATAATTTTTATTGGAGTATGGTTGCATTTGGAGTAGGAAACGGTAACCCTCTCCAGGGTTCTTGCCCGGAAAATACCATGGATGGAGGAGCCTGGCTGGTTACAGTCCCTGAGGTCGCAAAGAGTTGGACACAACTGAGCACTCATGCACATATTCCTTTGCAGTCTTGTGTTCCTTTCTGCCATGCAGCAAGTGAGTCAGCCACACGCTCACATACAGTCCTTCTCTTCTGGTTTCCTTCTCATTTAGGTCACCTGGAGCGTGGAGTAGAGCTTCCTTAGCTTCACAATAGGTTCTCGTTAGTTGTCTATCCTATACATAGTATCAGTCCCAGGATCACCTTCAAATTCATAAATGTTTTCTCCAGAGTAGAGCAGACACCAAATATAACATTATCCCTAATGTCTAGGTTTCTGAAGACATCATCACCCAAAGTCAGTTCATGGCATGGCGTAACCCAGCAGGACACTTGGACTTGACTCCATCCTTTCACTTGCTTTTCACCTGCACCATCCCACAGCAACTAAAACACTGTTTCCATCAGCAGCAGTGATACCACTGACGTCATAGACAGACCTGGCTTCCAGAGCGCTGGCAGGTTTGAGCAAGTTCCCTGGCCTGGACTTGGCTCCATATCTCCTAAAGTTGTAACTCAGAGCGTTACCCCTGATCACATCCACCTCATTCACCTCTCTTCATCGTCCACATTCAGTTCCCTCTTTCCAATCCTCGTACTTTTCACCAAGCACTTGAAACTACTTGAGCAGTCCCAGTGATGGGGTGGGCTTCTTGGGTAACTCAGATGGTAAAGGATCCACCTGCAGTGCAGGAGACCTGGGCTCGATCCCTGGGTTGGGAAGATCCCCTGGAGAAGGGAAAGGCTACCCACTCCAGTATTCTGGCCTGTAGAAGTCCATGGACAGAGGAGCCGGGTGGGCTGCAGTCGCAAAGAGTCAGACATGACTGAGTAACTAAGTCTTACTTTTGGTGGTGAAATAGCCTCAACTAATTTATTTTCCATGGAAAGTGTTTCCTGCTGTTGGTTCAGGTTACCTGACTGGTATTATTTGAGCACATTGAAGAGAGATAGCATTCTTTTTTCTTTTTGATGTGGACCAATTTTAAAGTCTTTATTGAGTTTGTTACAATATTAATTTCGTTGCTTTATGTTTTGGTTTTTTGATTGCAAAGCATGTGGGATCTTAGCTCTCTGACCAGGGACTGAACCCACATTTCCTGCATTGGAAGGTGAAGTCTTACCCATTGGACCACTAGGGAAGTCCCAGTCATTCTTGATTGTATTAAGAACTTTATGTTTTGAAAGTTGGCTTACTTTTATTTTACTCTGAAGTCATTTGGGTAGCTTAAATTCATGGCTTAAATTTTATTAACTTTTTTCCCTCCATGTTCTTTCCTGTGGGGCTTCCTATAATGTGGGCCTGAAGGTACCATGCAGGGCATCATCGTAGACAGTCCCTGCCCTGTGGCATGTTCTAAAGCATCCTCCATATCTCCTGCTATGACTTATTGGCCTCAGAGCTTACTAGGGGCCCTTTAAGAATGTCACACTGGAGGCTTTCATTAATCAACTCTCTGTACCAAATCAGGAGACAGAATGTTTACTAAGAGACTGAAGAAAACGGTCATGCTTTTGCCAAAGAGATCCTGACCACTCCCAACTCCCTTTCTCTCTCTCAGTTTAGTATACTTGTTCTTACATTTTTTACAGCGCCTGAAAAGCAGGATCTTGTCATGTTCCATCAGTATCAAAATGTTACCTCTTGCAAACTCAAATTTTCTTTGCTTTGTGTAGCTACCAAGAGGGATCGACACTGTGGGCTTTGAGAAGAAGCATGCTATTTAATTCAGGTGCTTGGGATTCTCTTAATCTTTCTTCTGATTTCATATTTTACATCTTCCTTGATATTTTCCCCTCAGATACTAGCTGAAAGAGAACAGTAAAACTTCTATCAGTTCAGCTGCTCATTCTCTAATTTAGGGGATAATTCACAGTGACACATGGATGGTTGAAGGAAGATGTCATTTCCTTTCCTTCCATCAGCTCTTCTAGACAATAACTTACCTTAGGTGCAGCCTCCCTTGAAAATCTTTCAAGTCTATTTTCAAATTAAATTCACCCCAGTAATATATGAGCTGTAAAAGAGAAATAAAAATGTAGATGATAGACTGGACCAAAGCAGATTCTACATTAGACAAAACGCTACGTTAGAATGTTCAGATTAGATGGTATCCCTTAAAGATAGTTGCTGTGCATTGAGGCTGTGTGTAGCTCATTACCTAAAATACCGTTATAGCAAGGGGGCTCTGGACAAGACGGTGGTGTCTGATAGGATATTCTCTTTGTTTAGAACTGCCTGGATGACCAAAGTCTGGAGCCTGTCATCTCCATTGTTCTTCAGATCCTGAGACAATGCTACCCTAAGAGTCCACTTCCCTTGGTCACAACCAGCAGCGCTTATTCTTTTCCAGTTCCTGGGATCATCACCTCTGAAACTCCATGTGTTCTAACTGAAGGTAAATATGTGGATATACAGATCTTCCTGTGGCTCAGTGCTAAAGAGTCCACCTGCCAATGCAGGAGATGCAGGTATGATCCCTGGGTTGGGAAGATCCCCTGGAGGAGGAAATGGCAACCCACTCCAGTGTTCTTGCCTGGAGAATCCCTTGGACAGAGAAGTCTGGCAGGCTGCAGTTCATGAGGTCACAAAGAGTCAGACACAAGAGTCAGACACAACTGAGTGACTAAGCACATACACAATGTGTGGGTAGTTGTTCTGTACTCATTTTGCTCATAGCTATAAGCTTTATGATGAATTTTTGCATTTGGATAATATTTCAGAGGAATGTGGATGAAAGAATCAGTTTTTTTTTTTTTACAGATTAACCATGATTATCTAATAAGCTAATTAGAGAGATGAATGAAAAGGCAAGTTTTTCATAACACCATGCTCATTAATTTTGTCCTTTATTATTAACTGTTGCCAGTTTGCATCACTGATTTGATGGACATGAGTTTGAGCAAGCTCCAGGAGTTGGTGATGAATGGGGAAGCTTGGCGTGCTGCAGTTCATGGGGTCTCAAAGAGTTGGACACAACTGAGAAACTGAACTGAACTGAACTGATGGAATGACTGTGTAGTCATCTCACCTGATTTAAAAAAAAAATCTATTTCCAGTCCCATGATGGAGTCCCTCAACTGTGCAGACTGGTTCTAGAATGAATTTGCCCTAAGGATGGAATTGAAATTAAACTTTTGCTGTTTACTACCCCCACAGTACAGGAGAAGGCAATGGCGCCCCACTCCAGTACTCTTGCCTGGAAAATCCCATGGACGGAGGAGCCTGGTAGGCTGCAGTCCATGGGGTCGCTAAGAGTCGGACACGACTTCACTTTCATTTTCACCCCACAGTAGTCATGTTAGAATACTTGACAGTGTGATTGTCCAATGTCCAAGAAGATTTTGTTGTCAGAAGATTCTAGTGCTTTTCAACTTTGTCCTTTTTTCAGGGAACAGATTTTCTGTAGGCATCATCTTGTTGCAATGACACTGGATGCTTTCTTTGGACTTTTATTTTAAATAAGTTCCTTCATACTAAAATTAGGGAGTCAATCAAAGTGCTGTCAACATTACAGCAGCTTTGATACGTATGTGATCACTAAACTTGGGCAATGTGAGTTGCATAACTACTTCTAAATCAGGTGGAGGAATCCAGAATGGTCCACGTGCCTGCTAAGTTGCTCAGTCCTGTCCAAATCTTTGTGACCCCATGAACTATAGCCCGCAAAGCTCCTTTTTCCATGGGATTCTTCAGGCAAGAATACTGCAGTGGGTTGCCATTTCCTCCTCCAGGGGATCTTCCCAACTCAGGGACTGAACCTGCGTCTCCTGCATTGCAGGCATATACTTTACAGCTTGAGCCATCTGGGGAGCCATGTGTCATTTTATTCTGCACTCATTTTGCATTCAGCGTGAGGCAGCACCTTAGACTTCATGAGATAGTGCTCTTGTGTGCCTATATTTGCACAAATTACACATTCAATAATTGAGGTTTTGTACACTTAAAAATAGCCTCCTCGTTGTGAGAAAAAGTAGTAACCATTGTGTTCTAAGAATCCCAACCCACCTCTGTTTTTTTTCCCCACTTAGAAGATTATGAAGATGATGGTGAGGAAGAAGAGGACAAAGACTCAGATTCTGAAGATGTGAAAGAGGAAGTAGGTACACTTGCCCTTGATTCAAATGATCAATTCTCAAACAATTCTCAAAGGAAAATGCCCTTTTCTATGTTCAGCTGAACCCACAGTAAATTGTAAGGACATACTTTTATGCTTCCCTGGTAGCTCAGCTGGTGAAGAATCTGCCTGCAATGCAGGAGACCCCGGTTTGATTCCTGGGTCAGGAAGATCTCCTGGAGAAGGGATAGGCTTCCCACTCCAGTGTTCTTGGGCTTACCTGGTGGCTGAGCTGGTAAAGAATCCGCCTGCAATGCAGGAGACCTGAGTCAGTCCTGGGGTTGGGAAGATCCCCTGGAAAGGGGAATGGCTACCCACTCCAGTGTTCTAGCCTGGATGAGTGACTTTCACATTGTGCTTCCACTCCAGGGCCCGGCAGGTACTGATGCTCAGTTAATGACGGCTACTGTTGTCATTTTCATCTTGATAGGTCCTATACAGTCTTATTGCCACATCAGAAGCTATCTGTTATTAGGCACTAGTATTCCATCAGGATGAGCCTCAGGTAGACACTCCTGGTTGGTGTATTTAATAACTGTGAATGATGTTCAGGCAAAGAGACCATGGAGACTTTTTCTGGTAGATCTTCAGTACCTTTGTAAGTTAGCCTCTTCTACTCACTCTGTACACACAGGACCACTGTGTTGTGCAACTCCACTTACCTTTGAGTTGAAGTGAGCTGTGTTCCCTTGGGTTGTATTGTGAACATCCTAACCAGCAGGGAAGTTGTGCCTTTTAGTCTCTGTCACTGATAACCTGTGCTATAGAGTGGAGGTCAGCATACTTTCTAGGGGAGGTCAAATGATCATTGCTGTAGGCTTCGTGGACCTTTCGGCCTCTGTCACAATGACTCAGCTTTGCTGTTGTAGCACAAAAGCATCTGTAGACAAATGTGTAAACAATAGAGACAGTGGGGTGCCGTTTACTGACTGCATTTCTAGAAAAGGCTTTCTGAACATTGGTACTATTGGTCGAATGCGACCAGATAATTTTTAGTTGTGGTGGCTTGCCTTGTGCATTGTAGGATGTTTAGTAGGATCCCTGACCTCACTGCCCAAGGTGCTGGTGACACCCACCACTTTGACCCCTCAGTCATGAACAAAACTGTCTCTTGTTGTTGTCTAGTCACTAGGTCGTGTCCGACTCTTGGCGACCCCATGGGCGGTGGCCCTCAGAGCTCCTCTCTCCATGAAATTCTCCAGGCAAGAACACTGGAATGAGTTGCCATTTCCTTCTCCAGGGGATCTTCCTGACCTAGGGATCAAACCTGAGTCCCCTGTATTCTCGAGTCACCCGAGGAGCCCAAAACTGTCTCTAGGACTTGCCACATATCTCTGGGGGTGGGGGTGCGGGGAAGCAGAAATCACCTTGTAGTTGAGAACTACTGCTCTAGAAAAATGATAATTCATCCATGAGTTATAATTATATCTCCATTTCTGTTGGTGGCCATGAACAAGTCCCTTCACGTTATAGTTCCTTAATTTTGACACCTGGGAAATAAGACTGAAAAGTATGCACTAGCTTTTATGACATTCCTGGAGATGAAGTCTGAGTTTAAAAATCTGTCTATCTATTTATCATCTATATGTCTATCTATCAATTGCATATCTATTTATCTACCTACTTATATATCTATCATCTATATTTGTTGATATATCTATCATCTATCTACCTTCTATTATGTGTATATCTATTTACCTGTCTCATGTGTATGTATCAACCTACCTACCTACCTATCATCTCTATCTGTAGTTCTATGTATTTCACCTTTATCTATCTATATATTTATCTATCTACCTGTCTATCATCTATATGTCAATTTATATATCTCACATCTATCTACCTTCCTATCTATATCTGTCTATCTAGCTCACCTGTATGTATCTGTTCATCTGTCTAGCCATCCATCATTCCATCCTCCTCCCTCCCTTCTCTCCCACCTACATATCTACCTAGAGAGAAAGGGACTTTTTGCATTCTCTATCATAATAATCACCTACCTTGCTATTGGTAGTACCAGACGTAGAGGGTCTACCTCTTAGCCAGGTCTCTAGGTTAAGGCTGTGATTGATATTCTGGTATGCTCAGGGTTCTGTTGATAAGCAGAATCATTTTTGAAGTCATCAGAAACAGACTGGCTCTTTGCTGCGGCTTGCCGGTGCAGGCCTATGGAGAGCTTGCTGACTTATTCGAATAATACTGTGCTGCTGCAGTCATTCATCAATGCCACATTCCCTCCCCTCTTGCAGGCTCTTTGATAACTGACTGTTTGATGCGGAGCGTCAGTCATCTCTTGTATCTGATGGGAAGGGACAAGTTGCAGGCTGGTGCCTGACTTTACATGGCATGGGGCTGTGGGGTGGGGAGCTTTCAGACCATCTCCCTGCCCCCACCCCTGGCTCTGCAGATGATGGTGGGTTGGGATGGAGTGGAATCTAAACAAATAAATAAATCCAGCTGGGAAGAAAGCATAAGACAAATGAGTGAGGCCCTGGAAATAATTCATTAAGAGCCTTCAAGCCAAAGAGAAGGTGAGAAGTTAGTGCGTGAGCATGCATTGTAGAGAAACAGAGAAACAGTGGAGTAAGGGCTTGATTCTGGGGGTGTTGCAAAAGTCAGGGGACTGGTGCCCCAGCAAATTTGTTTTCCCCAGGAGAAGACAGCAGCGTTTTCTCCTCGATATGTGGCCAAGCCTTCCCAGGTGACGCTAGTGGTAAAGAACCTGCCTGCCAATGCAGGAGATGTAAGAAATGCGGCTTTGACCCCTGTGTCAGAAAGATCTCCTGAAGGAGGAAATGGCAACCTACTCCAGTATTCTTGTCTGGAGAATCCCATGGACAGAAGAGCCTGGTGGGCTATGGTCCACAGGATGAAAAGAGTCGAACATGAGTGAAACGATGCAACAGCAGCAGCATATGGGCAAGAAGCCAGGAGTATTTATTTCTGGTCAGAGAAGTGACCCAGGCCTTTAACTTACAGCCTTTTTATTTGAAAAACCTTAGTTGCTAATTGGGGGGAGTCTGTTAGAAAGAATGATTAAAAGGAACTTCTTGGAGAGAGAGAGAGAGAGAATTACAATAAGGATGATAAGGTAGATGTGGCAAAATACTAAAACTTGGGGAATCTGGTTGGAAATATAGGAATCCTGTGTACTATTCCTGCAACTTTTCTGTAAGTTTGAAATAATTTCAAAATAAAACTTTTTTCAAAATTTAAAAAAAAAGGGAACTTCTTGTATCTATAAAGGGTCTTGAGAGTGGATGGTTGGGTGCTGTTCTTTGATTGAAAAGTGTCATCATAAGGAAGGAAAACTTGCAATGAATATCAACTGGGAGTTGGCCATGTTTTTTCCTTCACGAAAATAAACATTAGATTTAGACAGACCCTGGAGAAGAGAAGGATGTACAGAGTGAATTCAATCTCTTCCTTCTTTTTTTTCCTCCTCTTAAACTTTTTATTCCTTTTGGGTATTTTCTTGGATATGATTCATGTGTGCAGCAGCATGCTAAGTTCTTAGGGATGATATTATGATACAACAGCAAATGAGACACAGTTTTTATCTTCAAAGAAATCAATCTGGTCAACTTGGGAATTGTGTCTGCCAGAATTCAAATTAGTCCCTTCAAAAAGGGTGTTGAATGCAAATCTAATGCTGGCCAGAGTCAGTATTGGAAAGGTCCATTCTGAGGAGAAAGGACCTTATCTGGGTTATATGGGTTCCAGAATCCCTAAATTATGACGCTTGTCTGGGTTCCTGTGAGTGCAGAGAAGTTGGTCTACCGCTAAATAAATATAAATGGTATTTATAAAATATGGAAGGAGTTGACAACTTGCCTGAATGCCTGGAGATTCAGAGGCCAAGATTCAATCTTTAAAGACCAGAAGTGATCTCTGGGGGAATTCTCTGGTGATCCAGTAGCTAAGACTCCGAGTTCCGAATGCAGTGGGCAAAGGTTTGATCCTTGATTGATCAGGAAACTAGATCCCACATGCTGCAACTAAGAGCTGGTACAGCCAAAGAAATAAATGAATAAATAAATATTTTTTAAAAAAGTAATGGTCTCTTACAAGTTCTTCACTTTATATTACACTAAGAAAGGTATCATAGACAATATATAAATGACTGAGCATGGTTGTGTTATGATAAAACTTTATTTACACAAAGAAGCAGTGGGTCATCAGTCATGTCCAAGTCTTTGTGACCCTGTGTACCATAGCCCGCCAGGCTCCTCTGTCCATGGGATTCTCCAGGCAAGAATGCTGGAGTTGGTTCCTGCACCCTTTTCCAGGGGATCTTCCTGTCTCAGGGAATTGAACCTGCGTGTCTCATATCTCTGGCACTGGCAGGCGGGTTCTTTACCACTAGCACCACCTGGGAAATCCATAGATTGCTAACTTCAGCTCTAATGCTAAGTAGGTCACCTAGTTAGCCTGAAACTCATGGGTTACTGAACACTCTTCACACCAGACGTACTGGCCTTACTTGCTGGTGGGGAGATGCTTCTCAGTGCCTGCCAGGTTGCGTTTCCATTGGGGTATGGAAATGGGGGTATGCATTTCCACTGGGGTATGCCACCTTGGGGTATGGCTGAGGCTGGAGCAGAGGTGGTGGAAGCAAGGAGGATCTGACAGATGAAGCTGGAAAGGATAAGTGTTGGGATCTCTAATACCAGGCTAAAGAATTTGGGTCTGAAAATGTTGTTATATCAACCTCATGGGAATCTATATTTCTTTTAATTTAAAGTTTGGAGGGAAATTGCAGAAGATGGATGACATATTGCATTTTTATTCCCTGAATCAGGAATATAAACATTTATTTTCACAATTTATTTGATTTAGAGAAGAATAATCCAGACTCTCAGGACGCTCAGATTTTTCCTTAACTAACAAAATAGACTTGTAAACTATAGGGTAGAATCCACACCCCCCCGCCACCATTTTATTAGGGAAACTTGATCTAGGAGAAGCACAGAGAGATGAAGAGATTAAACTGTTTGATTCTTGGTGTCCTTTCTCCATATGAATCTATAACCTTTGGAAAATAGAGAAGTGTTTGGAGGAGAGTCACCGTCACTGTAAAACTATTATGAGATGATGATCTAGAAGAAGAAATAAAGCATCTGGGATTACTCAGTCCAATGAAGAAAAGGCTGGTGGTGACTTGGTAAACTTGTAGATGTACAAAGAGATAAAGGTGTAGCTGGGGGTTACAACCTCATCTACAGAGCCTGGAAATTCCAGCATCACCTTGACTCCTCCAGTCTTCCTCTTAGGCTTTATGCTTCAACCACCTTCTTTCTATGTAAAAGTTAAAAAAAAATATATTTTACTGAAGTATAGTTGATTTATCATGTGTTGTTAATTTCTCATGTACAGCAAAGTGATTCAGCTAGACATACATAAACATTCTTGTTCTGTATGTGAGTGTGTACATTCAGCCACCTTCTTTCTGTAAGCAAATTTAAGCCATTTTTGTATTTTCTTTTTTTCGGTTAGCGATTCGTTTCCCCAAGTCTTTGCCTAGTTAGCCCTTATTATCATTTAGGTCTAGTTAAAATGTGACTTCCTCAGCTTCTTGCACCCCCGCCTCACTCATAATCACTCTACCCCCTTTCATTCTTCTCATGACATTTATCACTTTTTGAAGTCACCTTGTTCATGCATTTGCTTTCTTAATTCCTGTCTTCCTTCTCTCACTAGGAGGCAAGTTCTATGGAATCATGGACTTTGGTCTGTTCCCTTATCTCTGGGTCTCAGTACCTAGGCTAGTACCCTTTCATAGTTGGTTCTCATTAAATGTTTGCAAAAAGAATTATTTAAATCAGTAAATAGATGAATAAATATTACAATTACAATTATGTTGAAGAAAGTAGTGATGAGATAAAAGCAATTCTTTTATACTGTTTACCCAGTTCATCTCATTTTGCATAAATTATTTATTTGTGATGAATGTTGATAAATACTGACATGAATGCTGAGAAAAATTATCTTCTTTCTTTTTATTTAAGAAATACAATCTTACATATTAAATTATCCTTGACCAGGCTATATCATTTGGAGGCTAGAGAACTGTGCCCATGATTCTGAAGAATCACATCTGTAGCTTGTCTTGATATTTCTCAGGATGGCATACGTTTTGAGTAAACATATGCCTGTTGGTAACATATGTTTTGAATATTCCATTGCAGGATGATGACTTGGAAACAGATGTGAACAAGCTGAGCTCCAAACCTGGTCTTGACCGGCCTGAAGAAGAACTAATGCAATACAAGGCGATGTGTCTTGAGCTTTCCTGCAGCTTTGAGGTAGAATGTCAGCTGTGGTTCTGCTCCTTGGTGATGCCAATGGGTTCTTTGCACGCGCTGGGAGGCTAGACAGGTTTCCACAAGGAAAGCATCACTCATCTTTAGCAATCTGCTTCTGGGGTCTTTCTGAAAGAGAAGCGTAAGGCTAAACAAAAATGTGAGAAGATGGCAGCCACAATGCATGCAAGGGTTCTACAGTGTGACCCTGGCACCTAGGAAGGAAGTAGGACGGAGGCTCACGTTGCAGCCTGTTGCCTGGTGGGCAAGGTGTCTACCCCCACACACTGATAAGCAAGTGAAAATCTTGGTGATTTAATTTTCCCCTTGTCAAAATGGAAAGGTTGTACTCCTTGGCTTTCTGAAGGTGACCAGCCTGATTCTAGGGTTTCTTTGTTAGTGGATACAAATCAAGAACCTTATACCTAGTAATGTCAGTTCAGTGACTAGTTACTGTTGCTACTGCTGCTCCCACCCAAATTTTAGACCTACTTTTGGACCTCCATTCTTTTCTTATGATTCTTAATAAAGCATGAATTTAGCCACTTCTAAGAGTATAAGCTAAGCCACTTATAGAAGAGAGTTAACTTACTGTATTTTGCTCTTGAAAGCAGAAGGGGATCAGTGGGTAAAAGTTTCAGGGAAGGAAATTTTAATTACATGTAAAAGAGAATATCTTAAAAACAATCAAAATCATCCACAAATGCAAAGAAGCAGCTCAGGATGCAAGGAAGCTTCTGTAAGTGAGTTGTTTGCCTAAACTGTAAATGCTTGAGGTGTCTCGGGAGGCATTCATGTAGAACTGTGCTAGACCTACTGAATGCCCCTTCCAAATGCAAGTTGCTAGGATTCTACCATTTCTTTCACTCTTGAAGCTTAGACTTTCGTTCACTGACCTTGGAGAAAGCTTTCCAGTTGACAGGATTTATGCTTAGCTCTGTGCCCAGAGAGTAAGGACAGGGATCGGATTGCATTCTCTGTTGGAAGGAAACAATGACATATTCCTTTCCCCTTTTAACCTGAAGGAACTGGAGTCCAAGCCTGGAGATGATCTGAATTCTGATGAGACTGAGTATGCCAATCACCGTCACATTCCGACTGCTGCCTCCCCAAAGGGGCTTTGCTTGAATAAGGACCAAATCTCCGGGGGACAAGAAAAAGAAGTCCCAGTCCAAACCTCTCTTCTGAGCAGGGTGAAGATGGGGAGGTCCAACATACATCTAACTTCCAAACGAGGACCTGGAATGATTTCATACCAAAATGTACACTCTAATGGTCCTGGGATAGGTTCTTCTGGAAGTGATGTCTCAAGCATTCAGGCATCCTTCCAAGAGGATGCTTGGGACATGGATGCAATTTCCTGCCCAAGGATAAGTGCTTCCTTTTCCAATTCTGCTAAGACTAGAGAAACTGCCAAATTCATAGATCAGCTCCTGCAGACACATCTGAAGCCTGTGGTCTTCCATGACCCCTATCTTTATATGGCCAAAGCCGGGATAACCAGATCTGTGGCTGACTTCACCAGGATGGCATTTCCTGATTTCTGGGGACATTGTCCACCTCTCTCTGCCCAGCCTATGTTGCAACGTAAATGTGGAGTCCAAAGGTGATGGTGTTACTAACTTGGGAGCTATGTGTTTTTGTTTTTTTTTTCTTCTTTAGTAAATATTTTTGTAGGTGGGATGGTTGGTGCAGATAGTTCTGTTATCTTCAAGAAAGTGAACATTAGTCAGGAGCGTCTGAAAACCCTTAAAGTCAAGCTTCCTTGATGGTCCAGTGCTTAGGACTTCACCCTCCAGTGCAGGGGGTGCTGATTCGATCCCTAGTCTGGGAGCTAAGCTCCTGCATGCCAAAACACTAAAGCATAAAAACAGAAGCAATATTGTAACAAATTCAATAAAGACTTTAAAAATGGTCCACATCAAAAAAAAAATTAAAAAACCCCAAGACCCTTCAGAAAAATTTTGCCAAATATACAAGCTTGTCTCTCTACTAGGACATTTCAGAACCAAGTATAGAGTGAGGTGAGGTGAGGTGAAGTCACTCAGTTGTGTCCGACTCTTTGCGACCCCATGGACGATAGCCCACCAGGCTCCTCTGTCCATGGGATTCTCCAGGCAAGAGTACTGGAGTGGGTTGCCATTTCCTTCTCCAGGAGATCTTCCCGACCCAGGGATTGAACCTGGGTCTCCCGCATTGTAGGCAGGCGCTTTACCATCTGAGCCACCAGGGAAGTCAAGTATGGAGTGGTAGACCTTAAGTGAAACGTGGAAGTGTTGGTTATTTAGTTGTGTCCGACTCTTTGTGACCCCAAGGACTATAATCCACCAGGCTCCTCTCTCCACGGGGTTCTCCGGGCAATAATACGGCAGTTGGTTGCCATGCCCTCCTCCCGGTAGTAGATGTGTGTCTGCAAAATGAGTTTCTTAGATGATTCAAATGCAACTGCTTAGCTCCTGTCTGTTGCAAATCCTACAAAAGGAAAAGATTATCTAGTTCCACCAAACACTGGGATCATTCCTTAAGGGAAGTTTCTCAGGAAAACAAACAGACAAACAAACTAGTGTGGATTATTTGGGATCACTTTTCTCATTCACTGCAAATTGGAGTCTGATCTCTTGAGGTGAGGAGTTAGTAGACCTCCATGCGACAGTCCCAACCTTACAGAACCTGACTTGGCTTGGGGAATAGTTTGGCTGCATCACTGAGGATTGTAAGGAAAAAATGCATCTTCCAGGGAAGAAACTTTGGGTGATGGATTATTCCCAGCATGCATGGAAGGGAGCTTTGCCTTGGGAATGGCCTAGTGAGATTAAAAAGAAAATTACTAAAGCCAAGGGGGGAAAAACCTATCTTCATGGGAAAAAAATGAGCATAAAAGAATTATGCATTAAGTCTATGCAGTAAAGTGTGCATAGCAGTAAGTTTGATTAACTTATATTCAAGTTCATCAGCAAATTGATGGTGGACCCCAAGAAAAAAGTGCTCCTACTTGGTCTTTTGGCTGACATCTCTGACCTCTGACATTTCTGACCTCATGCCTCTGACCTTATCTTAATGCTCTATTTCCTGAGAGACTCACCTCAGGGGCTGGCTCACCTACACACTCCCCTAGACAGGACATTTTCCCCTGAATTTAAGCCTCGTGTTGACCTATCCTTCCTCTTCTCCTACCCCTCCCTACCACAGAGACATGGAATGGAAATTTAGGGAGGGAATCGATTGTTTTTTTTTTTTTTTTGGGAGGGAATCTGAAAGATCCTCAGGTATCCTTCCTCTCTCATACTTCAATCTCCCGGATATTGCTGTTTCTTGGGCTTCTCAGGTGGCACAGTGGTAAAGAATCCATCTGCCAATATAGGAGACACAGGACAGGTGGGTTTTATCCCTGGGTCGGGAAGATCCCCTGGAGGAGGAAATGGCAACCTACTTCAGTACTTTTGCCTGGAGACTTCTGTGGATGGGGGAGCCTGGCAGGCTGCAGTCCACGGGGCTGCAAAGAGTCAGATTTGACTAAGCACACTTTGCTGTTTCTTAGACAAAAAATGTTTCTTAGGCATAATCTTTTGGAGTATAAATGACACAAAAGTTTAAGGTCTTACTGGCACCTCCCAGACTTTGAGGAGGCTAACAGTCAGCAACCCTGATGTCTCCTGTCTTAGTGCAAAGGACCCTCTTATTCCCACAGCCAGAAGCTCTCAGAGTCCTTCAGCCTGAATGCTCTTGACAAAACTCCTTCAAGTAGACAGTTCTCCTAAAACTACAATCTGGCATCACGGCTTTGTACATTTCTCCTGCTCAGTTCAGTTTTATTGTTTGATAATGAAGAAAAGGAAGGAGGCATACTTTTTTTTTGTACTCATTCAGATCAGGTTGGGGTATTATTGCATTTTTTTTTCATAATTCACTGATGACTCCCAAAGTGCTTTCCACATGACACAGGATGAATGGGGTAAGGAGTGAGGGCCAACCCTTAAAATGTTTCCAATTTTCCTTTCCAGGATCAAGATACTTGAGGATGTCCGGAGACTCATCCAGCCAAGTGATATTATAAATAAGGTTGTCTTCAGTTTAGATGAGCCTTGGTAGGTGGTCCTGAACATCAGTGGAGTGAGGGTGAGGGGTGGTGGGCATATTGAGAAACCTTTTAACAGCATGTGAATAAGAATAATTTAAGTTAGTATTCCATTCCTTCTCCTAAAAACAACATGGTGAAAATTCATGTTAAAGATCTGTAAGATAAAACTTATCTCTAAGAAATGTCAAACTGTGTCTAAGAATAGCAGTCACTCCTATAATAACAGGTTCTTTAATTCATTTCAGGCCTTTGCAAGATACTGCTTCTGACTGCTTGCAGTTCTGCTCTGCGTTTGAGTCAGGAAATCTTCGCAAAGCCATCCATGTGCGTCAGTAAGTAAGGAAGGCTACAAGGGTAGGTACTGGCAGCTCAAGCCAGCATTTTGTGACTATCTGTCCCGTCCTCTGTTTTCAGGGACCTCACATCGATAGTTTGAAATCTGTTATGGTGGGACCATTTACAATATACAGACCGGCCAGCATGTGAAGTTTTTTATTTTCCTAAGAGTTGATTGTTAAATGTTTACCAGCACACCACCGGGGAACTCATTAGCTGATGTCAAGAAAGTGGAGACTTTGACTTCCCAGGTGGTCTGGTGATTAAGAATCCTCCTGCCAATGCAGGGACTGTGGGTTTGATCCCTGGTCTGGGAAGATCCCACATGCAACTCAAAGATCATACAATGATAGTGTCTATACAGAAATTTCCCCAAATGTCACAAATACCTTTATGGCTTTTTTTTTTTTTTAAATTCCAGAACTCTCTCAAAGACCACATACTTTGCACACACATTAATCTAGAACTACTCACTTTATCATCTTTTTATGGCCTTTCATAACATTGACACTGACATTTTAAAAAATTCAGAGTGGATTATTGTAGAACAACCCACAACCAGAATCTGTTTCCTGCTTCATGATTAGATTCTAGAGAAATATTTATTTTGGCAACAATTTTACATTGGTGATGATTTTACATTGCCTTTTCCTGATGTCATAAAATGGCAAGGACACAATGTTATTTTGTTTTACTGTTGGTGATACTGACTTTGATTACTTGCCGAACAAGACTGGGTGCTTGAAAGAAAAAAAAAATCTGATTCAAGTCCTCCCCCTATAGTGACTTAATCTTAGAATAAAGTTCAGTTTTATGAAAAAGAGTGTGTCAAGAGGCTGGGATAAGACTTTTTAGAAAACCAAGTCTCCTGATGATAATGTTAAGTCAAAACTGCATTACCAATTTTGTTGCTAAAGCTCAAAAAATAATTTTCTGGAGACATGGTGCCAGAGTGGAGACACATAAGGACTTTCTGGTGTGCAGGAACTGTTCTATATATTGATCCAGTGAACCGTCAGACAGGTGTGTCCAGATGAATTTGTTTAAACTTATTGAGTTGCACATTTAAGATTTGTATACTTTAGTGCATGTAAACTAAATCAATTAAAAAATGTGGGGGGGGGGGGACAAACAGATAAATCCTTCCTTGCTAGTGTAATGTAATTCATGTTTGTTGCCCTGATGGTGATTTACATATGCTATTCTACTTAATCTTTACAAACAGTACTGCAAGTTTAGACACTATTTCTAATTTTCGTATGAGGAGACTGATTCTCAAAAGTCATGTCTAGCATCAGATAGTAATGGCATATCCAACCAGATGTGACCACATTTTTCTCTGGAATATAGCACACTTACATTTTTCGACCTGGATAGACACTTCATTGTTATTGTCGTCATTCAGTTGCTAAGTCATGTCTGGGTCTTTGTGACCCCATGGACTGCAGCACGCTAGGCTCCTCAGTCATCCACTATCTCCCAGAGTTTGCTCAGATTCATGTCTGTAGGGTTGGTGATGCCATCTAACCATCCCATCCTCTGCCACCCTCTTCTCCTTTTGCCTTCAGTCTTTCCCAGCATCAGGGTCTTTTCAAATGAGTTAGCTCTTCGCATCAGGTGGCTAAAGTATTGGAGTTTCAGCTTCAACATCAGTCCTTCCAATGAACACCCAGGACTGATCTCCTTTAGGATGGACTGGTTGGATCTCCTTGCAGTCCAAGGGACTCTCAAGAGTCCTCTCCATCACCACAATTCAAAAGCATCAATTCTTTGGCACTCAGCCTTCTTTATGGTCCAAGTTTCATATCTGTATATGACTACTTGAAGCTTCCTTACTGTTTAATAAAAAGATGTGCTCTAATTGTATAACTGACTGTTAATACCAGGATACTGCTTCCCTCTTCTTAAATTTCTAGAGCCTGTGTCCAAAATTGTGAGACAAGGATGATAACTATAGCTTACCAGCCAACTGAGATCCTGAGTCTTAGATCTGTCATCCAGAACCTGAGCTGTGTGGACTTCTCATTGTTGGAAGTTCTCCTGAAGGCTTTTAACCCACTGGTTTTGCTTCTGCCTTTGCAGGTTTGAGTATGACTTACTGGTCAATGCTGATGTGAATAGCACGCAGCACCAGCAGTGGTTCTACTTCAAGGTGAGTGGTATGAGGGCCGCTATCCCCTACCGCTTCAACATCATCAACTGTGAGAAGCCCAACAGCCAGTTCAATTACGGTATGTGCACTCAGGGAAGAGAGACTTTCACAATAACACGAAAAATGATGTCACTTTTGAGTGTTGGAATTATTATCAGAAGCTCTGCTTGGGTTGCATAGGATTTGAAGTTGGGATGGTACGTTTCAGTTAACATATATGGCAAGACAGCTGCCAACCTAGAGCAAATTCCTACTGTGGGAGGGGAGTGGGAAACTCTCCCTCTGCCACGCAGTGTAACTAAAGGAAGTCCCCTGCATATGAACCTTCAAGTTGCAAGCTTTCCAAGATGCGAACATTCATTTGCACATCCAATCACTTAAGTTAGTTCATGTGTGTGGTGTATAGTCACCCCCATGCATCCTCTATAAATAGTTGTTCTTTTGTGTACTGTCCAGTAATGTATAGAGTACAGTAGTACAGTATCTTTATCTCAAGCCCATGATGTGTGGAAGCAAGCGTAAAACAGTGGTGATGTAGCTGGTACATTACAACCCAGAAATCACTGGACCTTTTTTTTTCAAGAGAGTAGATAGAGCTGAATCTAGCAAGGAATCAGAACCTATGCCATCGATATCAGGCATGAGTGACATTGCAGCTTGCCCTCCATCTCCTATTGCTGATGACCATTCCGTTATACCATCTCCCACCTCCTCTCCCTCTTCCATCAGTAACTCTTCTTGCCTGTTCACTCGATGCCAGCCCCTGCATGCCAGTTGTTGTACTGTACTCCTGTATTTTTCAAGGTACTGTTCTATGAGATTAAAATCTAAAAAAAAAAAAGGTTTGTGTTTGCTATGTGTAATTTCTGTGCAAAGTATCATAAACCTATTACAGTACCATACTATATAACTGATGATGGTAGTTGGGCACCGAGGCTAACTTATTGGATTTATGAACAAATTGGATTTAGGAATGCTCTCTTGGAACGGAATTCATTTATATGTAGGGGACTTACTGTACACCTCACATAATTTTTCATAACTACCTGCTTCCTTGTCTCATCTTGAACTTTTTGAAGTCAGTGAGCCCTCTCACTTATTCCTTCTCTCCATCTCGTGAATCCCCCAGGAGCACACACATTGCTCTGTTTGTGACAGACAGGCAAAGAGCACAATTCAACAGGACAATGCTCATTTACACTCTCAGAAAACAGTGGAGAACGTTTAAATTCTCCCTAACACCTGTGGTAGTTTTAGAGGAGACATTCAAGGGACAAAGAGTGATTAGGAGCCCATATGTATCTTGAATGTTTCTGGAAACTGGAAGTTCTGCATGTTACTGTTGGCTCATGTATTAATGCACTGAGCAGCTTTGAGTAAAGAAAAAATATTCCCACATCTCCAGGCTCGAGCACAGGACATTGTGTCTGTTTTGCAGTGATGAAATAGACTTTTGCTGGTATAGAAAGAGAAAAGGGAATCCTTGACTCTTGAATCCACTTGCTGTAGCTGTTCTAACAAATTGTCTCATATTTTGTGCTTTTAAAGAAGACAAATGTATTCTTTTACAGTTCCAAAGTCCACAAGTCCCAAATCTGTTTCCCTGGGCTTAAGTCAAGGTGTTGGAAGTCTTCCTCTGGACAGTCTAGGAGATTATTTATTTTTGTTTTCCAGCTTTTAGAGCTGTATTCCTCACATTCCTTGGCTCATGGCCCCTTCCTCCATCTTCAGCATCAGAGCACCTTCAAATCTCTCTGCTTCAGTCACATTGCTTCTCCTCTAAACTCAAACCTCTCCCAGCCTCTCTCTTTGAAAGACATGTGTGATTGAATTTAGGGACAATCAGGATCTCCTCATCGCAAGATACTTAATTTAATCATATCCACAAAGTCTCTTTTGTCATAGAAGGTTAACACACAGCTTCCAAGGATTAAGACCTAGGTATCTTTTTTATTTTTCAGATATTCCTAATTTTATTTATTTATTTATTTATTTTTGGCCACACAGTGTGGCATGAGAGATCTTAGCTCCCGAAATTGTTGGTCACTCAGTCATGTCCGACTCTTTGCAAACCCATGTGGTTAGCCTGTCAGGCTCCTCTGCCCATGGAATTCTCCAGGCAAGAATACTGGAGTAGGTTGCCATTTCCTTTTCCAGGGGATCTTTCTGACTCAGGGATAGAACCCTGGTCTCATGCATTGCAAGCATATTCTTTATTGTCTGAGACACCAGGGAAGCACAGGATCAAGCTTGTACCCCCTGCACTGGAAGTTCAGAGTCTTAACTACTGAACTGCCAGGGAAGGCCCAAGATCGCGTATGTTCGAGGGCTGTTATTCAGCCTACCACAACTCTCCTTTCCTTTTCCCCCCTCATGGATTAACTCTGCCTTTATTTTGTGTAGGGATGCAGCTGACTCTGTATTCCGTGAAGGACGCTCTTCTTGGCAGGCCCACCTGGGTACGGACAGGCTACGACATCTGTTATTACAAGTAAGTTAGACTGTTAACTTTCCTTGCTCTTTCATTCTCTCTCAACTTCCTACTTCTCCATTTTAAAAAAAATGTCTTTAAAAAATATTTATTTGCTATTTATTTATTTCTCTGTGACAGGTCTTAGTTGTGGCATACAGGATCTAGTTCCCTGACCAGGGACTGAACCTGGGTTCCCTATGTTGGGAGCACTGGACCGCCGGGGAAGTCCTTCCTGCTTCTCCATTTTAATCTTATAAACCTGATCAATCTGTGCTTTTCTGGTTTACTCATCACCCTCTAAATGACAAATGCTGTGTCTTTCAGAAGCATAAGCAAGTTAAATGACACCCACAGTAGACCAGGAGAAATATCTTTTGGTTTTGTGAAAAGTCATCTATTCTTATTTAAACACATCAAAACCTTTAAATCTTATTGTTGGATACAGACTCAACCTATGACTAGTGCCTCAGCCTTTAGTTTCCTTCCTATTGCCATTTGTCTCAGTGAACAAAAATGTCTCAGACATTCTGGCTTATTCTTATCCATCCTGTGCTTCAGTTTTCCAAAGTAGGTAAGCATGAATATGTGACAAGTACACTTAAGTAACTGTTCCTCCACAGCCAGATAGCATTTTGGAAAAAAGTAAAAGTATTTTCAGAAGTCATCTTCAACTCTTGATCAGTAGCCAGATTCATCAATTTATCCTCTAAAGTTGTAATGAAATTTGAATTATCCATGTATTTTGATAAAACAAATGCATTCCAGGCCCATGAATTGCTTATTTGTACAGTTTCCTTTGATAGAAAATAAAATAGAAATTCATAAGACAAAAAAAAAAAAAGAGAGAGATGGGAATTGTGGACAGGTAGAAGGGATGTAATTAATTATTAGCTCATTGCTAGTTTCTTGTAAAAATTGATAGGCTACTACCTATTTCCTGGGATAAAGTAAGTTGTATCTGTTTCTGAGATGACAAGGGGCCCTAGAGAATATTATCAGGCATTGGAGAGTTTAGGATTGTTGCAAATATCAAAAAGAAAGAGTGAAAATTCTTTATGCCTCTTGGCTTTTGAGACTGTGAGGACAGGAGCATTGACAGAGAGGAAGGTCTAGAGCCTTATTGTTCTGCCAGGCATAAGGGCAAACATCACCACAAAGCAAGGACAGTCTATAAAGCACAGAGCTGGGCTAACAATTTATATTAATAAATAATAAATGATAAAAAAAAGTCGACAGCCTTCGGTCTTGCAGGTATTAGAATATGGACCTGGGTAGGCTAGTATTTTCCTTATATTCTTCAGAACAATAGCAAAATCATACACTTGTTTATTTTCCATAGCAGTTACCCACCTAGCTACAGACTCTTAGGATATTTTTATGGTCTACGGAGACTGAGACTAAAATCACCTTACAGTGATAGGAGCGATAGCTGCAGTGGAAAATAATGAAAGATAAATTTGGATGTAGGTGTATCAAGAATAACTTTTTGGACTTCCCTGGTGGTCCAGTGGTTAAGAGTCCACCTGCCAATGCAAAGAACACGGGTTCAATCCCTTGTCCAAGAAGCTCCCACGTGCTACAGGGCAGCTGAGCCATAACTACCATAACTACTGAAGCCTATGTTCCCTAGAGCCTGTACTCTCCCACAGGAAATGCCACCGCAATGAGAAGCCTGCACGTTGCAACTAGAGAGTAGCCCTTGCTTGCCACAACTAGGGAAAATCCAGGCAGCAATGAAGACCCAGCACAGGGGGCTTAAAAATAAAAGGCCAATAAAATACATAAATATATGAAAAGTTTTAGAAAAGAATAATTTTAAGTGTCCTTAAATAGTAATCCTAAATAAGCATGAAAGACCAGCTTGCAGCAGGCTTGGATCTGTAGCTTAGTAGGAGACTGGACAAACATTAACTTTCAGCATCCTTTGGGGAGTAGGGGTGGAGAGGGAATAACTCCCCCTAGAGGCTGCTTCCTTGAGATGGGGGATAAAGCATCAGCTTAAGGGGATTGCCCAGAAGAGAAGGAAGAAATCAGACATCCCAAAGCAGAGCGTTGGCCTAAAGGATGCCTGTGTTAATGTTAATAGCTTTTAGATTCATTAACAAGACAATTGTTATGTGATTAAAGAGCAACAGAGGGGTAACATGAAAACCATGCGTGTGTAATATAATTCATTTTTCATCTTCCAACCATGAATCCAAGCAGATGAATGGATAAGATTGCTACACAGTCACGTAGCTTGTTTTACAATGATTGGCCACATTGTGTTAACATATTTTCAATAACGTGATCTAACAACAGGATAGATATGTGTATCTCTATATAACCACAAATCAGGGTAATTTTCTGTATGGTAAAATGCCTTAGATTAGAAAATGTATTTGTTTCCCTCTTTTACTTATCACAATCTTTTTAAAAAAATATGTGGTATTTTATTGCAGTTAACTGCATCTTCTTTCTATTAGAGTGAAGCATTGACTTAATTTTTTTTTACTGGAGTGTAATTGCTTTCCAATGTTGTGTTAGTTTCTACTGTACCATGAAATGAATCAGCTATACATATATATATATATATCTATATATATATATATATATATATATATATCTCCTCCCTCTCAAGACTCTCACCCCCCTTCCACCTTCCCCACCCCACCCCTGCAGGCCATCACAGAGCGCTGAGCGAGCTCCCTGTGTTATGCAGCAGCTTCCCACTGGCTGTCTGTTTTACATGTGGTAGTGCGTATATGTCAGACTTAATCTCGCCATTTTTGTCTCACCCTCCCCTTGCCTTCCTCTGTCCCTCTGTCTGTTCTCTAATTCCTGCCCCACAAACAGGCTCATCTGTACTATCATTCTACATTCCATGGAAAAGTGAAAGTGAAGTTGCTTAGTCGTGTCCAACTCTTTGTGACCCCATGGACTGTAACCTATCAGGCTTTTCCATCCATGGGATTTTCCAGGCAAGAATGCTGGAGTGGGTTGCCATTTCCTTCTCCAGCGGATCTTCCTGACCCAGGGATTGAACCCGGGTCTCCTGCATTGCAGGCAGATGCTTTACCATCTGAGCCACCATATGCATTAATATATGATGTTAATTTTTCACTCTGCTCTAGCAGATTATTTTTTCCCTCATCCCTGCTTTTATTCTGTCTAATATATTTATTTGGGAGAACTTTGCCTCCTTATTTTTTTGTCTCTGATGTGTCATCAGGAGCTCAGAAGTCCTTTGACTGTTTGTTTACATTCTTAGATTTAGTACCACGTTCTAAAAGATCCGCTGGGTGCTTATTGTGGAAAGAACCATGAGCCATGGTACCTGAGTATATCTATGGGACGGTGAAAGGAAAAAAGAGAGCACTCAGAAAGAATGGGATATTCATTTCCATTAAAAAGGGATAGCAATAAAGATCAATTAAGGAAATGGGCTGACTGCTTTTTAGGTCTGAGCATTGTCACTTAAAAAGTGATCTCCAAAGTATTTTGATAACATATATTAATCCATGGATTTTTAAAAAATTTTTATTTATTTATTTATGGCTGTGCCGAGTCTTGGCTGCTGAGCACGGGCTTTCTCTAACTGAGGTGGCCGGGAGCTGCTCTCCTGTTACTGTGCACAGGCTTCTCATTGCAGTGGCTTCTCTCTCTCTTTTATTTTTTTGCTTTGTTTTTTTTTTTTTTTTTTAACAGCAACTATCATGGCATTTATTAGTTGTCAGAAAGCTTCACAATCAGTTTCATGATCAGAAAATAAAGCAAGATTTCAGTTTGTTTTGCTTTGGATTTATTTTTGTTGTTGTTGTTGTTGTTGTTTTCATTTATTTTTATTAGTTGGAGGCTAATTACTTTACAATATTGTAGTGGTTTTTGCCATATATTGACATGAATCAGCCATGGATTTACATGTGTTCCCCATCCTGATCCCCCCTCCCGCCTCCCTCCCCATCCCATCCCTCTGGGTCTTCCCAGTGCACCAGCCCACATTTGAATCAGTTCTAATGAGATGGATGAAACTGGAGCCCATTATACAGAGTGAAGTAAGCCAGAAAGATAAAGACCAATACAGTATACTAACGCTTATATATGGAATTTAAAAAGATGGTAACGATAACCCTATATGCAAAACAGAAAAAGAGACAGAGATGTACAGAACAGACTTTGGGACTCTGGGAGAAGGCGAGGGTGGGATGTTCTGAGAGAATAGCATTGAAACAAGTATACTATCAAGGGTGAAACAGATCACCAGCCCAGGTTGGATGCATGAGACAAGTGCTCAGGGCTGGTGCACTGGGAAGACCCAGAGGGATGGGATGGGGAGGGAGGCTGGAAACTAGATCTGAAAGAGACACGTGCACCCCAATGTTCATCGCAGCACTGTTTATAAAAGCCAGTACATGGAAGCAACCTAGATGTGCATCAGCAGACGAATGGATAAGGAAGCTATGGTACATATACGCTATGGAATATGACTTAGCCATTGAAAAGTGGCTTCTCCTCTTGTTGCAGAGCCTGGGCTCTAGGCATGCAGGCTCCGCAGCTGTGGCACAAGGGCTTCGTTGCTCAATGGCATGTGGGCTCCTCCCAGATTAGGGACTGAACCTGTGTCCCCTGCATTGGCAGGTGGGTTCTTAACCACTGGACCGGCAGAGAAGCCCCAATCCATGGACTTCTATAATTTGTTCAAAATTTTAAAAATTCAATTATGTAAGTCTTGCTGTCCTAATATATTATGTACCCTTAGAAAACATGCAAAAAGTTTAGAATTTTAAATCATGGGGAAAAGATGAGAAAAATAATTTAAAATTTAAATCTTTAAATTTTAAATGTAAAATTATTATATTTTTATACTATTGATAACTCGGGGCATCCTGTACCCTTAAAGTTGACCATGAAAAATATAGTTGTAAAGTGTCTGGTGGATAAGTTTGAAAAATTGTGGCTAACTCCTCAGATCTAATTAGTGAATTTTAGCACAAATAAGAATTCTTGAGAAAGAGCTAATATTAAGGGTAGGAGGTGGA